CTCGTTCTCTAGTTCCCATGGTCCTCGACTTCTCGAATTCGGGTTCGTTCTTGGTTCTACTAGTTCGAGTTCGAGCCAAAATCGAAGCCGTTCGCGTGTCTCGAGCAGGCATGGTCGGTCAACCTCCCGTTTTTGAAGCTGTTCACATGAGAGTGATAAGGCATTCAGTGATGTTCCCTCAGGCACTCAGATGATTGCCGAGATCTGCGCGATCCGGAATCATCACAGGCGACAGGGACAGAATCTAGTTGCACCGGCCGACCCCCGCGCGGGGCGGAGGGCTAAAATGACAGCTGTTGGTGGTAGCCGAACTTTGAACAAGTCGGGACTACATCTGAGGGAGGAAGGAGAACCAGATAGTGAAGCTGAAGTATGGCTAAAGGGCCAATATTTTTGATAGATAATGACGGTCATCTGCCAAAATTGCAGGATGACGTTCTCACTATACAGGGTCGCTTTTTCGAACACTGATTCGGAACAGAGATTCACCCTTCATGATGCGATAAGCTCAAGATGGAGTAATATTTTGCACGGGCTGCAAGGTAATGCATGAATGGAATAATAAGGTTGAATCCAGAATTAAAATGCCTTCATATATATCAGCCTTGTATCCCCCACCAATGAATGTAGGGGATTATAGCAATGCTATATCTAAACCAAATCACACGAAAAATAACTTTCATGCTGAACATCAAAATCAGTTGGGTTCAGGTCTAGCTGAAATAGGTAGGGGTCTAAATGTGATCCTGAAAAATAATGACAACATGCCTAAAACATAAGAGAAACCTTATTATCTCAATTATGCGATGCAGGCCGTATTCTCACGAATTTATTTTTCAATATTACAAAAGTGAGGCATGAACTGGTTAACCTATGATCTCAACATAAAAGCCAAGGAAATGGCAGAGAAAACAACCCATTCCTGAATTCTTATTCGCAGCTGATTTGGAAGGAAAGGTTAAAATAGCCAAACAACTAGAATTTTAAGGTGATGAATTTCAGATTTTCAACGCCTTGTAGGGCAATGAAGAACATTTGCGATAAAAATGGGGGAGGGCGTCATAAGATGCTTAAACAAAACTCTTCTACAGATTTCGCCCGGTTCGCCGTTCACAAACAAACACATGGACACATGGAGGGAGTTGAACCAAATTGAAGGGCAAACCTCACGACAAGACAGGAATTATGCGAATAAAACATACTAGTATCGGCCTTGAAGTGTGAATACTCAATGGTATCGGTAAGTCATAATAGTTCAGCCGGCCGGCTCAAACTATTCTTTGATGAATGGTTGAATTTTACCTCGAATCAATCTGTCTTGGGTGAATGGTTACAGATTACCCTTCATCAAATTGCCTTCACAAACGAAGTCCCTCACCACATCCTTCTCACTTAGTGATACTCGATTGATGAGGAAACAATAAAATTGTGACTCTCGCAAGGTGCAGTGGTCAAAGGCATAGAAAAATCAAAAAATCTGTTCTTATCTAGAATCTTTCTAGCCGACAAGTCAAATGGGAAGAAACATTTCATTTTGAACTCGAAGCCTCTCAATGACTTCATTGAGGCACCCAATTTCAAGATGGAAAACATTCAAACGATTTCGAAATCAATTTCACAAAATTGTTATTTGGCATTTATAGATTTAGAGGACGCGAATCACTTGTGAACAATACACAAGTCACAGAAAATATTTGCGATTTCCTCTTGATAATCAAATCTATATGAATTTACATGTCTTCCGCTTGGATTATCATCAGCTTCCATATACCTTTTCAAGATTAATGAAACCAGTTATTAAAAATATTAGGAGAAAAGGTATATGATGCTGAACTACCAAGATGATTTCTCTATTTTTGGCAAAAACTACAACCACAGCAGAGTCATTGTTATGGTAACACTTGAATAATTGCAAATAAAGCTTGGCTTCATCTTGAATCAACAGAACAGTATTCTATGAGAGCCAATAAATCGGGCAAATTATATGGATTTGTTTTCAATAGCGACTCAAACAAGTCACGCTTCTATAGATGAGCAAAAAGAAAACATTGTGAATTTCATAAGTTACTCGAAATCAAGACCATCATGCGAGTTTCGAGAATTCGCACAATTTGTTGGTTCATTGGTGTCTGACTGTACTCCTATAAAACTCTAGATAGAGAAAAATATTTGGCTCTCTTGATCACCAATGATTATGTTGCTCATATGCGCCTACGGCCACTCTTATGATCTGATCTGAACTGTTGGCTAGATAACATTTGAATAGTATAAAGCTACTTCAATAGATAATATTTTGATCTAGAAATATTCACAGATGTTCCACTGACCGGTTGGGGGGTTCACTCGAATGGGGGACGAACCCATGGATAGTGGACACCTGCTTGCAGTATTTCACGGTATCAGATGTTTCGCCATTCACATAGAAATTGCAATATTTTGATAAGAACAGATAACACCAAAGCTCTTTCGAATATCAATCTTATGAAGAGTGTCATCAGCTACTAGAGCTGAGCCAATTGAAAAAAAAACTGGCTATAAGCCTATCAGCCTCATATATAGATTTCAATAATAATAATGGACAGGCTGACCAGGAATCTCGCAAACTTCCACCCAGAACGGAGTGGTATTTAGCTTCATACGCATAAGAAAAAAAAACAGCGGTAGTTATCAGATCAATTCACGACGAAAAACAACTTCAAATGCACAAAGTGTGTATCATGGCATAGATATCCTGAAGAAGTGGCAGTTAATGCTATCACACTCCCTAGGAGTGATATGATGTTTCATGCATTTCCTCTTTTTTGTGATCCTAAGAATTGTTCAGAATATCATCATTGAATATTTTGAGTATTCAACTAGTATATATAATCAAGGATATCATACAAGACAAGGCGGAGGGGATATTAGTAGTACCGCCGACTCAGCCATGGTATCCCTTGTTGCTGAAATTGACGTCGGATGGCGCCGGTAATATTCAAACCGAAACGTGAATTGTTCACAACACAATACATTCATTCACTATCAAGCATATCCTGGAGAATGACAGACCATCAGACAAGCATTACTACTAAAAAACTTTCCACCAAGCGCCATAGATACTGCGCTTTGCTCCTTGTCAGAATCTACGATAAGCCAATATATTTCTAGGTATTAACTCTGCTTGCAATTTTGCTCACAAAAGAAGTTACTGCCGTTCGAAGGTGAGGCACATGATTGTATGAAGTTTCTTCAAGAATTGGTTGTTCAAGGAAACCGGAAATTTTTAACCTTCAGCGCCCACCGATAAACCCTTTCATCATTTTGCCTATCGAAGAAGATGAAAGAAGTGGAAGATTCTTGAGAATTGTAGCTAAGCTCAGACAATATTCACCAAGATACACGACTACATGGGGTTCATCGGATGTTCTGAAGTACTTTAGAACAAGCGAGAACATCAGGCTTGAAATCATTTTCTTTCAAACTAATCACTCTGCTTTTTCTGACCACAGGTCAAAGAATGCAAACTCCCTTACTGATTAAAATCGAGAACATGAAATAGTCTCCGAAGGAGTTGCGAATCTGTATACCTGACAGAGTGAAAACCACGGCGGCTATCGAAGAAATCCACGTCACTTGGGGATACCATTTTTTAAGGAAAACCAGAAATTATACGCTGCAATAGTGGTGAAAAATTACCAGGAAGACACAAGGCCTATTCGAAATGATCCTATAGGTAATGTCTCTTTATCAACCATAAAAAACGTCACAAAATTGTATCTACGCAGACTTCGGGTAGATAGAGGGGTAGGTGAACATTGTCAGGCATATACATGGAGAAATTCCTCATTCGACGAGACATGGGCCGACTTCCCTAGCAAAGAAAGATAGACAAAAAAAAAACAGGCGTGAGCCTGGACATCATTCAGCGAACGGCTGGATGGTCTTCTAATTCCCAAACGTTGATAAGTTGCAACGATAATTGTTAGAACCTCTAGCCAAAAGTCTATGGAAGGGATTTCAGCATTCATTCAGAGTCATACTCAGTAGGTGAAGAATCTAACGAATTATTTTCAGTTTATTCATTGAAGCAAATTGATATGTTTCAAAGGTGAATATTGTAACATGTATCCATGAGCACTCGTTTCCTTTGATAGAATATCACCTGCTTTGGTATGGTAGACACTATGTTATATATATCATGGAAACCATACATCCTTCCTAAAGTGGTCCAATTTTTTTTTTCAGTCGACAGAATTGATGTCGTTTGTTTTTCTTCGATTATATTATATGTTGAATAACATTTGATCAATAAAATCATAGGAATCTTTCTTAAATGAGGAAGCAGTATGAACATACATTGTACATGGCAGTACTCATCGTAACCTGTCTTTAAACAACTACAGAATGTGATATCGAAGGCTGGACGTGAAATATAATCGAACGATTAAACGAACTTACCTAAGTGAAGTTCAATCGTGATTATATGAAGCGTCCAGCCTGAAGATATCACCTCCCACCGTCCCCTGAGCAAATATAAATACCCCATACATAGGTTACGATGACAGAACTTTAAAACAATGAGAAATGGGAGTAACGGTATCCCAGGGATAGAGAACAGGAGAAAGGGAGAGCGAGAATCTTTAAATATTGTGCGTAGCAGTATCGACAGGGCGTACTACAGAATGTGATATCTTCAGGCTGGACGCTTCATATAATCACGATTGAACTTCACTTAGGTAAGTTCGTTTAATCGTTCGATTATCGATTAGAAAAGGAGGCAGTTTCAGGTATCTATAGGGAACTACGAATAAATAAGTGATTCATAGTTTGACTACCAACATGCAACTAATTACGAAATATGAAATATTCCACTCATCAAAAAATAATTCTTGATATATTTCGGATCACTTAATGCCAAATTTTTTTTGTGATATACAAGGTACCTACGAGGTTTTGACTAGCGGATATGCCAGAAATTGATTTTGTTTAGTTTCAATAATATATGTTTTTTTCTATTGCAGAAAGCGACCTTGTCCTTGGTTTCACGACATTCATTGCTTGCCTAGTTCTTGCATTGGAGATTGGAATATTAGTTGGAATTGGAATCAACTTGCTCTTCATTCTTTATCATGCAGCAAGACCCAAAATAACTGTAGAGAAACTAACGGTGAGTATAGTTGAGTCTTTAAATAAAAGGAGATTGTGGACAAGTTCAATCATCGGCTGACCAACCCATTTGTTGATTTTTCCTTCCCACAGAAAGGACCAGTGCTTATGATTTCCTCTATATCAATTTAAATTTCACTGTTTTATCGCTAACCAAACTGATTTTTTAACCGCTTCGACATGTGTTTCGTGAACTATGTTAGCATCTCAGGAAGAGATACAAACTGAATATCTCAGCATTGGAAAATTCTCAAGTTCACTTTTAGTCCCACGAAAAAATCGAAATAGGTGCGTATTTCATTTTGTGATAATTTCAATGTTTCCGAGTAAAAAACAGAACTGCCTTCTGATAAAATACATTTATTTTGGTGAATGTTCTCATGATTGTTTCATTATTGCTACTTTCAGTCTCTCTTCACATGAATGATGTACATCATTGAAGTTACACATGAACTCTAGTCTCAGATAGAAATACAAATTCGAATAGGGAAACGTATCTAGAAATGGAGCGATAGGGTTTAGAGATTGAAGCTAGTCTATGGTCGGATACGAATACACACAAGTACCTACTCGATCGAAGATTTTTCATCTCTAGGAGCACACGGGAGGGGATTTCTATCATGCTTGTGAAGGAACGTGCATATCTAGGAAGGATTGATAGAGAAAGTTGGTATTGGTTTTCATCAAACTCCTACAGGTTATCAATTCTTGGGCATATTACTTAAAAAAAAAACAGACAATGAATAATAAAGAGGAAAATATAAAAATACCATAAGAAGAGATAGACATATTTCGTTCTTTCTCGCAAACAGTGCATCTTATTGAATTTGGACAAGTTCATTTTTTGTAGAAATCCAGCCTAGTGATGATTAGAAGTTATGAAACATTTGAAACACTTATGTAGATTTTTTGTGGGACAGAATGAATCTATGACACTGCGTACAAGCCCTTCAATGTATGGTACTTGTCACTCATTGAACAGAGACAGAGAGTGTCAGATCAATCTTTTTCATTCATCTGAGGGTTCATAAGATTTCGATTTACTCAAATCTCTTTTTTTAGGTTATAACTTTTCATTCACGAAATGTACATATAATGTATTGGAAGGAATATGAAATAGGTATCTATTCCATTTGACAGTTAAACAAATGCCGCCAAATATTTCAGAAGTTGAAGAAATAATTGATGACTTAGATGTACGAAAATCTTGTGGATTCGACGGAATATCTGCTGAAATTGTAAAAGTGATCAAAGTAGAATTAGCTCCGATTTTATTGTATGTTGCTACTATATCTTCCAAAACTGGAATTGTACCAGATAAAATGAAAATTGCTAAAGTCATACCGATACATAAATCTGGAAAAAGAGATGACCTTAATAACTACAGACCGATTTCATCAGTTCTCCCGATCCTCTCAAAAATTATTGAAAAAATGATGAATAAGCGCATTCTTGATTTTCTTGAAAATAATGGTCTGCTATACAGTGGTCAATATGGATTTCGCCGATCGAAAGACACTGAGGTAGCAGTTATGGATGTAATTTCGGATATTCAGTTTAAAATTGATCAAAATTATAAATGTGGTCTCTTGTCTTTAGATTAATGTAAAGCTTTCGATACTGTAAATCATGAAATTTTACTGAGTAAAATATATTCAATAGGTATCAGAGGAAAAATATTTGATTGGTTAAAAAATTATCTGGAAAATAGAAAGCAGTATGTTGAAGTCAATAATATTTGTAGCTCCGTAAGAGAAATCAAATGTGGTGTACCACAAGGTTCCGTTTTAGGTCCAATTTTATTCTTAATTTACATTAATTCAATATCATCTTTGAAACTAAAAGGAGATCTGAAGTTATTTGCAGATGATACTACAATAATCTATTCCTCTAAAGAATTTAACGATATAGTTGATGATATAAAGAGTGACTTGAAAATGATATCATCTTGGCTACAAATTCATAAGCTGACCCTTAACTATGACAAATCTACGTATATGTATATTTCAAAAAGAAAAACTGATATGTCGAAAACAACAATATTTTTCAACCAGAAAGCCATAAAATATTTAGATATTACGAAATTCTTAGGTCTTTATATTGATGAACAATTATCGTGGACTAAACATTTAGATCACCTGAGAAAAAAGCTCAATCCAATTACTGGCATTTTATACAAAATTCGAAATTTCATTCCTCTTAGATATTTGAAGAATATATATTTCTGTCTGATTTACTCAAAATTACAATATTTAATATCAATTTGGGGAAGCACAAGTATATCACATTTGAAACCATTAATGAAATTACAAAATAAAACAATCAAGTGCATTTACAATTTACATTACCTGGAACCAACTATTAATCTTCACAAACCAAAAAATCTGTTGAATTTATCATCTTTATATAAAATGAAAATTTGTTCTTTCATCCATTTTGTGAGAAAAAAAATAAAAATATCCAACTTGAACTTCACTGAAGTAAATACAATTCATACTCATGCAACGAGACAGTTGAATTCATTAATGGCAAACCCATATAACTCCATCATTGGCAAACAATCAGTTTCTACAACGGAATCATTTTATATAATTCATTACCTTATGATTTTAAACATATTGATGATGAAACAAGATTCAAAGTCAATATGAAAAAATATATACTCATGACACAATAAACGGAGCAATTTATTCTCATTTGAATACTTGGAATGGTTTTTTATTTTAATTATTATGTTATATTGACATAACTTGTTGATTAGTTTTTTTTTGTTTTATATATATATATATCATATGTTTGTGTATCCCTATTATAAACAAATATGTTCCTTGGGGTAATAAAGAACAACAACAACAATATTATCTGAGAAAACCGCGGTTCTTTTAATTCATCTCGATTTATCATGAAGTTTCGGAACGAAATTACATCACTTCAGTGAATGGGGCTAGAATCGGAATAGCGATTCATGATCACGACAGATCTTCAATAACTAGTCATGAAATTTTTGATATCAATTTTTTGTAACAACCTAATTCAAAATATCTCCTGGGGAGCTCATTTCAAAATCATGGTATTTTTGTAAGAACTGAATGATTTTTTTTTTCAGTCTAACGGAGGTACCGAATATCTCATGCTCACACCCGATAGATGCCTCATCTTTCCCTCAGTCGACTACGTCAGAAACTTGGTCACGAAACAGAGTATTCGGCAAGGAATACCTGTAGTTATAGACTGTTCACACATCTACGGAGCAGATTACACCGCTGCCACTGTGATCGAGATTTTAACTCAAGATTTCGTCGCCAGAGAACAGCCTCTTTTCTTTTATAACCTCAAACCATCGGTGTGTTCTGTATTCGAAGGGCTTTCACCTAAAGGTTTTGTTGTGTACTACAACGAGAATGAGCTTGACGTACTTCTAAAGAAAAGATCTAGCATTAAAATAGAAATTGAGAGTAAGTAATATGTACGTTTGATTCATTTGGGTCTTATATTTATCAGTATTTTTAATATAGTTTGTACATTTAGGTAGTTACATTCACTCAGTGAGGAATGAACTAATTACTAAGAACATTTTTTAGAAATATCAAATGGATTCCTATTATCAGAAATATAATCGTGTAATATAAATAGTTTTAGTTTGATTCATGTTATATTTTCATTAGTTAAATGTGATTTCTGAATAAATCTAAAAAAATATGAGTGCATGATGGTGCAGAAATGTATTATAATGAATATAAATATAAAATTATGGCTGACTACTAATTCTATGCAATTTTAGAACTATTTCTTTAAGATGTTGTTCCATTGCTGATTTTTGTTCATCACTCTAGCTCTAATGGCAAAATTACTTACTCATTCATTTCATCAATGCCATCATTTTTGTCATTGAAATGAATTATAGATAATTTTATACAGTAGGAATATTCATTTTGCAATATAGATGAGAGACATTAATAATAGAATATCGAGTCATTGACCTAGGTACTTACCTGAATGAACACAATTTTCCAAGGGAGCTCGTTTCGAAAATTTGATTCTTTGTTGTACCATTGAAATTCTCCATTGAATTTTGATAAAAAAATATTCTTGCTCTGAGGCAATTTTTCAACTGACTGAATAAAAAAAACTTGCAAGGGGTTTGGGGTTCGATCTTGATACTCACCAATAATTGAACATCATCATATATTCAGATGTAAGTTATGCTCGAGCTGCCAGTTACGAATTCGCTCAGATTTTTCTCATGAGACAATGATAGTACCACCCTTATTGATATCGATGATATCTTTTATTGCTATCTTTAATGTATATCATCTCATTGGAATCAAATCCCTATTGGATGTCATGTAGTAGGTAACTCATAATGTATGTAAATAGTGAAGTATTTGTTTTGCCAAACTGCATTCCTAATTGGTAGTGAAATAGTTTTGAATATTTTATATACGTTGGTCTTATTTTCAATTATTTATATCACCTTCATGGATGAAGACATTTATCAAATATGTAGTAGCTAGACTGTGATAATTAAATATTTCGTATGAATCGATCAGTTTCATTTGTTTTCCTGTCAATCATCATAGAGTATATAATACTTTATTGCAGACACAATAATGGATTCTCACTACGATGGCAACAATACCCAAGTAGCAATTTAACGTTACGGTGACGTCTTTCAAGAAGTAGCGCAACCAATAAGTCGCGTGGCAACCTCAACACAACGTTGTCACAATTCTCTTTTGCACCAATATGGCCAATCATGTTTGGGTTTTCATAAGGTTTCATTTTCAACTGTAGGTATAGCAGTCTGTGGTTTCGTGAACGTAACTAGATTGACTTGAAAACTGCGACAAAACTGCGCCCTCTCACACATGACAGTCAACTTTGAACCAAATAATTACTGAGGACCAGAATGGTGACTTAGGAAAAACTTTCAGACAACTATTATGGCATATGTTAATAACAAAATGTTTCAATCTCAAATACCATATTTATATTGCCAAAAAATAACGATTAGAGACAGAAATTTAAAGCGCATTTAATTTAACTGTCTAACATACTATCGTTTCATGAAAAAAAAAAAACAAGCACGGCTTTCATCCGTTGTGAATTTCTTGAAACTCAGAATGAAGAAAAATAATGAATCTGAAATTAATAGAAAGTGTTCAAAGTTTACATTGATTCAAACGCGTAATAAACGGGATACAAATGGTTCCTAGAGAACTGAAATAGGGTGATAATACTATAAATAATAATAAATAATGAAATTTATTGAATCCTTCACGATCATAATGAAATGACATAGGATACATCAGACAACAAGAAGTTCACACAGAATTTATATACAGAAACATGAAAATATAACAGAACCACATATAGTACACAGAATATTCAGTCTGTAACCTTTCCTAGTACCACAAAGTATATCAGGATTTATGGAATGAATTTCATCGATTGAAATATTCGTCGATACTATAAAAATAACCGTTAATCAGAAATTCTTTGAGTTCAATTTTGAAATGATTTCCTCTTCTGTGTACATTTTTATTTCGTCAGATAAGTGATTATAGAATTTTGCTCCCTTATTATAAGAGGGACAATTTGCATAAAGACGAGATGAATGTTTCTGAAGTCTTATCAATTCACCGTGCCTGGTAGGATACGTATGAAAGTCACAGTTTCGATCATGAATCTGCATTTGTTTCCTGAATAATAAAATACATTTGTAAATATAAATGCAAGGTACACACAAGATTTTATTCTCAATAAAGTCTTGCCTACAAGATTCTCTGTAGTCTAGCCATATATTAGCCGTATGACCCTTTTCTGTGAAACGAGTATTTTGCTGAGTTTTGACGAACATCCCCAAATGGCAATATTATGAGAAATATGGGAATATACAACAGCAAAGTGAACATTTAGAAGTTGAACCTAATCGAAAGTGGACCTATTAATTGTCTAATAGCATAGTACCCACTGATCACTTCCTTACTGACATGATTTATACCCGACTCCCATGTCATGTTACCATCAATAAAAGTACCTAGAAATTTGGTGTTGTCTGATGGTTTAATTATTGCATCACCCACTCTTACATGAAGATTATCAATTCTTTTATTAGTTCTGGAATAAAACTGCATTAGAACAGTTTTCTCTACATTCACCACTAAAGAGTTTTTATCACACCAATTCGTGAACTCGAAGCTCAAGGAATTTAATTTTTCTTGAAGCTCCTCTGGTTTATCTGCAATCGCTAGGAAGGATAGGGACAGGAGGTAGGTATTGGATTTTTTTTTAACTTCTGGAGATTATATGTTGTTGGGAATACTTTCTCCGGCAATGAATTTCAGAGCCTAGCCGTTCTATGGATGCAGGAGTTTTGATAAAGTGCTTTTCGACATCTTTCGAGGTTGCTAACGAAAGGATGTGCTGACTGGGCTTGTCTAGTTTGTCTGACTGGTATTGCTAGTAAAGGGATGATAGCAGAGATTTCCGAAAAACATTTCCCGTGGAAGTATCGATAGAAAAGTGAAAGGTCGCAGACTCTACGGTGTTCCAATGATCTCAAAGAGTGAGTGAGGGTGGCGTCACCCACCAGGCGAATGGATTTTCTCTGGATGGAATCTAAGAGCATCAGCGTTTGTTTTGGTGCTGAACCCCATATGTGGGAACAGTATTCTAGAACAGGCCGTATCTGCGCTTTGTAGATCATGAAAAGCTGTTGAGGTGTAGAGAAGCTTTTCGCACGAAACAAGAATCTGAGTTTCTGTGAAGCAGCTTTTGCGATGGATCTGACATGATTATCCCATGAAAGGGTATTGCTGATAAAAATATCGGGCATAGATATGGTGGGCTTGGTGAGTATGGTGGTGCCAGACATTACAATCGGGCATACTGATAGTTCCGCTTTCCTGGAGAAAATACAGGCTTGCGTTTTGGTGGCGTTGAATTCAACTAGGTTGTTGGTTCCCCAGGCTGTGATTTCAGCAAGGTCTTCATTGACAGCATTGACCTGCCTGCGCTGTGAGTTCTTAGTTTCATGGAAAGAAATGAAAATTCTGGAAGAGAACGCAGAATGGAGGGTGCTATCATCTGCAAAGCTGTGGCAAGGGGCAAGTTGTTACTCCCAACAGATCATTGATATGAAAAAGGAATAATGATGGTGCCAAAATTGATCCTTGTGGAACGCCAGAATTGATGCCAATGGTAGCAGACGATACACCGTCCACCACCACGTGAAGCGATCTGTCTGAAAAAAAAAACTCGATGAGAGATGGCATAGCTGAGGTGGTGAGCCGTATGATGGTAGTTTGTGGAGTCCATCGTGCCAAACACGGTCGAATGCTTTCGATATGTCTTACGCAACAGCTAGAGATTCCCCGTGTTTTTCTAATGAGGCTTTCTATAAATGGGTGACGTAGGCAAGTAGATCTCCAGTAGATTTTCGGTGGCGAAAGCCGTATTGTCTATCATTTTGATAATTTCTGTGCTCTCCAGATATTTGATAAGCTCAATATTGATTGCTTCCTTCATAACTTTGGAGATTACTGATAACAGGGCAATGAGCCTGTAGTTGTTAGTTATCATCACTACTATGGTGCCTGGTAGTAGACGAGCTCCTCATAGATTTGAATAAGTCATCTGCATATGCGCAAGCATATGCAGATGACTTGGTAATCATGGCTCAAAATCAATCGGCGAACCGGCTAGGGAATCCAATCATGGAAGCCCTCAATAAAGTGGAACAGTGGTGTTCCACTAGTGGATTGAGAGTCATTCCAGAAAAGGCGAACTCATTATTATTTACTAAGAAACGCAAAATAGGAACACTTCCTGAGATATTTCTCTCGGGAAAGTGTCTCCAATATAAAAGCTCATCAAAGTACCTTGGAGTTATAATAGAATCCAAGCTCACTTGGAATGAGCACATTGCAAACCGCACTGGGAAGGCTGTATGCTGCTTCTGGGCATGCAGACGAGCCTTTGGAAAAACATGGGGTCTCACACCTGAGACCCTTCACTGAATATACACGGCAGTAATACGCCCAACACTTACGTACGGGTCCATTGTATGGTGGACCAGTACCAATAAGGGCAAGACCAACAGAGAACTGGATAAAGTCCAGCGACTGGCCTGCCTGGGAATAACAGGCGGTGCTCTGAGAACGACGCCTACCAGGGCTCTTGAAGTTCTGTTAGGTCTGCCGCCTCTACACCTGTTCATACAACACGAAGCCATGAGAACTGCTTACCGACTCAACGGTGCAAACCAGTGGGTTGGAACAGAAGCAGATCATGGACACTCCCTCATATGGAATAAGGCAAAGGAAAACTGTCCCATCCTCATGATGGGAAGGGATATTACCTTGCCAATCCTGAACTTCAACAAAGCCCCAAACACTTTCATCCCTACGAGGGAAGAATGGAATGACACAACACCTGGCGTGCCACCTCCTAATGAGTCAATCTGGTACACGGATGGCTCAAAATTTGGGGGCAGTTCAGGTGCAGGGGTATACAATGAAGGAAGAACTTTCAGTTCCTTTGGGCGAATATGCCTCAGTGTTCCAGGCAGAAGTACTTGCAATACTCACCTGTGTCCAAGAAAACCTAATTATGAGAGGTCGTAGACCAATCACTATATGCTCGGACAGCAAAGCTGCAATACTGGCTTTGCAATCCAATAGGATCACATCCAATTTGGTCGAGTGCAGAAAAGCCTTGGAAAACCTGGCAAAATCAAGAAAAGTCAGCCTCATGTGGGTCCCGGGACATTCGGGAATACCCGGAAACGAGGAGGCAGACAGACTGGCAAAGACCGGTTCAGGACGGACCTCGGTCGGACCGGAACCAATGTTGGGAATACCAAATAGCCTGTAGAGGAACAGCTGCAAAAGCAATTCCTCAAAATATGGCAGGACACACCAGGAATGAGACAATCGAAGATCCACATAAAGGAACCTTCGAAGAGGCTCGCGAAAGAGGTTTTATTCCTGAACAGGCGAAACCTTAAAATGGTAGTGGGGCTCCTAACGGGGCACAACCACCTCAATAGGCACATAGAGCTTATTTGGATCAAGAATGCCCCCCTTTGCAGATGGTGCCTGGAAGATGACGAAACGTCATCACATGTCCTCACTGAGTGTCCAGCACTGACGCATCAGAGGAGGGCTGTCCTTGGCAACATAATTTTTAGGCCAGAGGACGTGAAAGAGATTCAGCTGAGGAAGCTGCTGAACTTCTCCAAGGCAGTCGGCATACCCAGCTGAATGTCGTAACATGTGGGCGCACAATGGGCCCGAATAAGGAGGCCCACGTGCAGGGGGTTCACCCGCCCACCAGTGATTCGAAGAAGAAGAAGAAGTCTGTAGTTGTTGGGCAGATTCTTGTTCCCTTTGTTGGGGATTTGTTGGACTCTGGCTGTCTGGCAGCATGATGGAAAAATACCCGACATGTACGAGACGGTAAACAACTTGCAAAGAATCGGTGTTAATCCTGGTGCACAGTTTTTGAGGGATGGAATTCCATCAGGACCGTTATTCTCATTCG